CCAAAATAGAAAAGTTCTGGCGTTTTCCAGTTTTGTTCATTTTGAGTGCAGTTTCAGGTAGAGTTTACTGTGAAAATAACATTTTCACATTATAGTCACATTATAGAAAATAACACTTTTATAGTGACCTGTTTGTGCTAGTTCTTAAAATTACATTTTTTATTATTTTAATACAAAGTCTGAATCATTACATAATGTATTCCAAATAAAGCTCTTTGCTGAATGATTGCCTAAGCAAAAAGAAATTTCTGGATCCTTGTCCTCTTTGGGTGCACTGTTTTAGTTAGCAGATTTGCTGATGGAGAAAGCAGCAGCTATGATAAAAGGGGTTATATAAAAGAGCTCCTGCTGAGAGTCCATGGCACCGTACAGGGTGATACCGACCACTGAAGGTACAATAATTAGCTGCAGGACTGGTGCTTGGTCTGAAGGATTAATTAGAACTGGAGGTGATGTTGGGGGGAGGTAAAGCAGCCATAAAGAGTGTCAGGATCACTCTGGCCAGAAGCCTGTGTGATTTGATGTGAAATAGCAGCAGCTGGCTGTAACCTTAGGAAGTGCAAGTGAACAGCAGGTGGTAATTCCTGTCTCATTTACCATGTCTTCAGAGGAACACGTAAGCTTGTGCAGCTTGGGTTTATTGGCAGGTCAGAAGGAAAATCCTAAGGACGACTGTGACATTTACTATACTAAGTAAATGCAATAGTAAAAATTGAGTGTATGTAGCATAGTGTAAAACCAGAAATGCTGTTGCTTAATTTTCTTACACTCGCCATAGGACAAGGTTATTGATGACCTTATAATATTGATCAATGTTGATCAATGCACAAAGTGGAATGTACCTGAAAAATCTTGGACAGCTAGTAGGAATCACATCTTTGAAGGCTGTGATAATGTAACAGAAGAATTATTTATACTAAGTGAAAAATCATATGATGTTCTGGCATCTTTCAGTTTTCTCCGTAGCTATTGTCTGGGGACAAGTAGGCTTTATCGACGTTTCCAGGCAGGTAAGCAGGGCAGTGCATTATGAGGCCTGTTAGCCTCCTCCAAGCATCATGTTTTGCTTGGCATTTGGGCAAAAATTGCAGTGAGGCATGCAACAAGTGTGCTAATTTGGAAATTGTAACCAGCTAGCATTTCAGAGTGAGCTTGAGTTGCTGTCAGCAGAGGAATTTAGTGGGCCAGTGGTCGCTGTTGATCACTGTAGTGTTTTGTATTCTGTGAGGGCCTCCTAGGGTGTAGAACAAGAGCCCTTCCTATGTGCAGTTCAAGAATCAAACCAAATAAAGAGAAAATAGAGTAGCTTTGAATCCATCATTGAGAACAGCTTTAGATAGAGAAAAAATAAAACAGATCTAAGGGATATTTGGGGTTATATTTATAGCAGAGTGACAGGACAAGAAGAGAACTCATTTTGTGGGGAGGATAGCTCTTTTTATGCCTTTTTCAAAACTCATTGTGTGCCAACATTATCTTTCATGGATGCCAGAAGATGCAGTGCCCTCTAAAGCCTCCCACACATGCAAAAACTATGCACCCATTATAGTTTCTTTGCTGGGTTCAATTTAATATTCCTGTGTTTCTGGCTCTCTCCAAATATGTGTGTTTTACATATGGGGAGATAATTCAGGTCCAAGGTGGCATTGCGTGTCTCTGACCTGTGAATCTCAGAATGTATGAGATTATGACTGCTTTAGTCAAAGGAAAAAAAGCTTTGTCCTACTTAGGAACAAGCTGAAAGATGTTACTAAGCTGCTGATGGAAAAATGGAGCTTTCCTATTTTCTCATATGTTGTTTATGTAGGCAGGAAACTGCAGCACTGATAGCTACTCTTGAACTTGTCTGTGTGGTATTGGGAAGTACTGAGAATGCTGGGGCAGGACTGAGAAGTGCTCTATATAAATGTTTTTGTGTGGAGCTACACAAATCTTTTTAATTTTTTTCATTTATTTTCTCAAGGAAAAAAAAGAAATCTTTCATGTCAAACCACTACCTTTTCCAATTAAACTCCTTTCTTAATTAATTCTCAGCTCTACCTTTTTCAAGATAGAATATGAGTTTTGAGTTTCCACTTCTTAAAATGTCAGATTGAATATATACTGCTTTTAGAGGTAACTGAAAATTACTGTGCTGTAATCCTAAAGGCTGAGGAGTAAAACTGAAGTTGTTGAAAGATTTTCTGTTTTTTTTTATAAATGAGACTTAAAATGTATTGCTTGCTACTCAGATTTAGTCCTTTTGTAGGTTTCTTGTTTGTACTCATTTCCATTACATGGGTATTGTAGCTTTATCTAGGAAAGGAATGGACCATGTGCACAGCAGGGCTAATGAGTCACAGATGTAAAGATTCTGGCAAGTTACTATCTTAATAACTTATATCCCATAATAAGAGAATTGCAAATTTGATACATCTGTTTTCTATATTATGTATCTCTCCTGTCTTAGTACTGTCTCAGAGTGAGTGAGTTTAAATGTTTGGAGTTTTAGCCTTTTTGGGGATTATCTTTGTATTTGTTTCTAAAGATGAGATTTCTGGTCACCAAGCAATGCAGTTAGCCACACCACTGTTCATTAGAACAAAAGAAGAAGGCTTTATGGGCTCCACTGACAGGGTCTAAGCTTTCTGATCATGGGTATATATCAGGAATGAAGCTAATGAAGGTGTTAGTGAAAGGACATCCATGCATCAGAAAGTTACTCCTCCTTTTCTGTAAAGACCAATGCGGTCTTTGTGATCCAGGTATTCTCTGATATGATGCATGTGGCAATGAATAGAGCTAATATTTGCCATGCTGAGAGAACCTGCTGCAGCTGGGAGACCTGGCAGACTGCCGTTGCCTGTGGTGCTCTCCACCAAGCCATCTGGGCTGCAAAGGGCTCATGCACTGTGGCAACATGGTTTGCCCCAGCAGAGTTTTCACGCAGGATTTCCTGGAAGCCACCTTATCTGGCAGACGGAGAGAGGCTTTCCTTTTTGGAGGTGTCAAGCTGCAACCCTACAGGCTTACACTCCAGGCCTCATAGAGGGGCTGTGCCACCAGTTGTGTGCACATGCTCTCAGTGGTGGCATGTGTCTGAGCATGCATGCAGGGAGCCTAAAGCTACCACACTGTATTTTATTCTGTGCTCCTCAGCCTGATGCCTCTTTTCAGACAGTGTGCTATGCTAAAGACAAGGAGAAGACTTGGGGATTTCTTTCTTTAGGAGTTCACTGCTCAACTCTATAAGGTTTCAGCTTTATCAGAAGCTCTGATTCACACCCTACAAAGCAACACAAGAAAGGTGTTGAACTGAGAGTAAAATTCACCTCTTGTATTGTCACAACAGGCCATGATTACCACACTCCTCTTTTTTGTACCAGTAAAGTACAAGTTCTGCACATGTTGGTAGCACATGCTGGTAGACTAACATATGAGAAAACATATGTAGCATAAAAAGCTTGAGGGGAGAAATTTTGCCCGGGATGTGAAAATGCTTCTTTTATGTCTTGAAAGCGTTGATCTTGGCCATTCTGGAATACCCAAGACCTAGCACTAGATTGTTGTTCAGTGTTTATAATTGTGTATGTACTACCAGTTTATGTGCTGAATGTCATATGTTAAACACAACGTGAGGAGCAAGATTTTAATTATACAAAGCACTTCAAAATCCACCATCACTGCTGTCAAGTTCTGCAGCAATCCAGAGTTCAGGCTTTCTATGTAACTCTCAAATTGCTATAGCACATTTTACTTGAAAATGGCTCAGTTGTCTGCTGGCTGATAACTTAAAAATTATCAAATGATCATAAAAATTTATTGTAATTTTAAAGAAAGTCACATCTGTGGGACTGCTCCTTCTAAAATCTCTTGATATTCTCATTGTAAGTTAAACAGCCTGCATCTGCAGTGTGGTGCAAACCCAACTCTGTTTCCCATATGACAGAGAGGCTGTTTCCTGTCAGTAGGCAATGTGGGGTATACTAAACATAGTGTTCGTTCTGTTTGTCTGTTAGTAAATTGTCTCTGTGATGTCTGTGTTGTGCTGTTTTGGTACCATGTTATGCTGTGTCCCTAGGGTCTGCCAGGCTTCCCCACAGTCGCTGCTCTGCACAGTAATCAGATCCTCACCGTCAAGGTTTGTGGGTGTCACGTACCTGTTCAGTCAGATATCTCTGTATCAGCATAAAAGTGCACATGAAAAAAAACTTTTTTGACCATTGAATACCAATGAATCCTCATGGTGGACCTAAGTTAACCCTCACTGCCTTTGCATTGGTATAAGTACTCCTGATGCAGAGCGTGGGATCATGCCTATAACTATGCGTAGTGTTAGCCCTGGAAACACCCACATTCCCCATTATCTCAATCAGTATTTTATTTTCAGATGATATTTTTCTGTAGTTCTGCTTCCCTGAGGCATACAGGAGTGTGGAAAATGTCAGTGAACTCTATACTGGTTACATGTAGAGTCAGCTATTTGTGTTAGATAGCAGAGGTTTAATCTGTACATACAGATTTTCTAAAAGCTGGATTTGCAAATTAAGCAGGAAGGATTGAAGCAATCTGGTCAGGCTGGAGCTCCAGCCCTTATTAAAATGACACCATTCTTCATGGCACAATATGCTGGTTAGAAAATCTGACTGAAAGCTGAACTGGTGCTTTGTCTCTAGAAGCTTTGCTGAAAGAACAACATGTAAAAATGCTGATCTTTAGAGCCCGGGCAATGAAAGAAAAATACATGTGAAGAATTCTCACAGGAAGTCTGGGGAGAAAAAAGTTACGCAGTTAACTCACTCTATGTGGTTAATTCATGGAGTGGTACGTCCTGTATATCAGAGGTAAATTTCTTCAAAAGAAAATGCACAGTTTCTGTGAGGCAGAAGCACCGGTTTATATTATTTTAGTTATTACAAATCTAATGAATATGTCTTTATTTCTTTCTCGGGCCTTCTGATGTCTATTCTTCAATTCTCTCATCTCTGATCTTCAACCTTTGACCTCACCTGCCTGATCAGATGGTGTTTCCTAAAATCAATCATGGGTTTCTCTCAGCTGATCAGCAGCTCATTAAACGCCGCCTCATTAAGGTAGTGCTTCATCTCACTGGAGTCTGGTTCTTCTTTACATTCAGTTTACTCTTTGCTGTACCTTTTTGTCAGATGCCTTCTTATAGCAGGATGTTCATTTGCAAATGTTTTAGAATGAGGCAACTGTTAATGATATTAACGATTAGAAGGCTATGGGTAGCTTTGCTAAATGATCCATATTTAAGATGCAGTTGACTTTTTCCAGATTTTAGCAATGATATGCTGGAAATCAAATAAGTTTGGTGTCTTTTTTTTTTTTTAAGGGGAAAATAATATGTTTGGCAACTCTCTTGGAAATTGGCTTTTACAAATTAATAAGTTAAATTAGAAGTAAAAGCCATTAAGAGAGTTAGCTAATAGTTGTTATAAAACAACTCCTCAGAACAGATGAAAAATTATGTACAACTTCACGAAAAAGCAGTTATTTTTCATGCTCATATTTGAAATCTATCCATGCATCATTGATGGGCTTGGAAAATTGCCATGCAAACTATATATTCTCACATGTGGCTCTTCTTTTTTACCTCAGCTTTGTTATGATTATGTGAATTATGAAGCAAACAGCTGCTTATTGAAAACAGTTACTTGTTCTGGAAAACTAGATGAGTAAAATGTTGCAAGGCTACCCCAAATTTTGGCATGTGCTGTGGCAGGACAAGCAGTTTAGAATTTAAATGTTCTGCTCTGTGGCTGATTGCATTGGAAAGATACAACCCTCTTGTCTCCAAGGCAAAGTCCAGCCTCTGCCATAAGCAGCAAAGGAGCCACTGTCCCACTCATGGCAGCTTCCTCCCGCCTGTCTTGTGATCTTTCCCGGTAAATCAATGTCTTTGTATGTGGTTGGTGCCTATAAAACAAACTTGTGATGAGTTTTATGTTGGTTTAGGGGGACCAAGGACAAGCTGGACCCCCTGGACCTCCAGGGCCACCAGGACCCAGAGGGCCACCAGGAGATACGGGCAAAGATGGTCCTCGCGGGATGCCAGGCTTACCGGTGAGTTAGTCTGTGGCTGTCATGGTGTCCCAATGCCTCTCAAGTATATGCCAGCTCAGTTTCAAAGATGTTTTCTGAGGTAAGATTGGCAAGGAAGATACATGGAAGCTGAACCACAGGCAGAGTTATGGTGTATCTGAAGTCTCCCTCACGAAGAGCAAGTTCATTGCAGGGCCAAGAGTAACACCTAGGTTCCTTGCCTTCCTCTCCTGATAGTTTCTCCGCACATTCTAAGGTTTCTGTGTTGCTCATTGATGTAATGTAAGCATTGATAAATGCATGAGAAGGGTCTGCCCCTCCCAAAAGTAGTAAATATTTGTTCTCAAACTTCAAGATAAAGCTGAATTTGAGACGTTTGTAGCACGGACAGGCCTGAATTCTCACTTCCTAATGATTTAGCCTCAAAAATCATGGAATTAAAGTAATAAATTGCTAAATGCTGCCTAAATTATGATGAAGTTTAGAATCAGGTTCTGCCACCTTTACACAAGTATAATACCATTTTCCTTGGCTCATTTCCTGTTCATTAGAACAACCAGCAGAATCCATTGTTACTGCTAATTGTTTGGTTTAGGCACAGTATCTGACCCTCTGCCTTTGGCACTTCGTGACCTGATGATTAAACGCTTTTTAAACAGATGCATCGATACATGGACTTTTTTAAAGCAAAATATGAGTATGTTTTTTGTTTTATATTTTGTAGGCTCTTTAATTTTCATTCTTTTGAAAGAAGTAGCTCTCTTTTCATCATGAATGCCACTCTGTTATCAGTGTGGAAATGGAATCACAAACAGGAAAGGGACATGGCAACTGAAGCACCACATGTACAGCTGCACACACACACACACCTCTCCCCATGATAAGTACAAACTGTGGCTGAGAGGACACATAGGGAACTAGCAAGGTGAGGACCAGCACTGGAAATAGAAACAGGGCTTTTTGAAGGAAAAGCATAGCTATTATGTGGGGTTAGGACAGAAAGGCATAAAATTTCCCTGCAGGACCTTTTTAGGTAAAACCAAGAAAGAAAATACCTACACTCTTGTTCTAGCCCTATTGAGGTTGCCTCATCTGAAACACTATTTACTGTACAAATCAATATAACATGATGATAATAGTAAAACCCTGCTAAAATGTCCTGTGAAAATCCAGCAAGGCTTGGCAATTAAGACCTACAGTGCTCTAGGGCTGCTGCTGTTAATGTTGTTGCTTTGTTTTGGTTTTCACCACCATTGCCCTTATAAGTTATAGCTCAAGGTTATGAAATGACATTAAAAGTCTTTTGTTTCTGTTGTTGAGCACCTACTCATCTCTTGTTCATCCTGCAGCACATCGGGCTTTGGGCCTCCTCTTGGTCTCTGGTTTGTCCTTTTAATGTGGTAAAATTGACTGCAGTCAGCAGAGTTGCTTCTGCTTTGATATAGTGAAGGTGAGACTGAAACCAGAATGCATTTCTGACTGCAGTGGTGCCATTTTTATAATTCAAGCACAAGAGGCTAGAATCAGCTGGCTTTGCTGATTACAACATGACTGTGTGTTGCTTGGGGTTTTGTGTTTTTTTAGCAGAGGGAACATTAGTGTTTCTCATAACAGGGAAGTAATGCATTTTATGCAATGAGGTCATTCCATTTTATAACAGTTCTGTAGTGATTTTGACTTTAGATGGCAAGAGAGAGTTTCTTTTTATAGGTTTTTAAGCTGTGGCTATCTTAAGCCCTATAGCATTATGGAAAATCAGTTCATAATACAGCTTTAGAATCAGATACAAACAAACACTCAGATAGAAACTGTCCAGATTGCTGACTGCTGTTACCATTCTGCTCCTTGCTATTGTCCTGTACCCTCAGGTTAGTGATCCTGATCCCCAGAAGGTGTTTTTTTTCCTCCATGGCTGTGTGGTGTGCAGTCAGCAGGAGAGAGGGAAAGTTTAGCCAAGAGGTGGTGACAGCTTTGTATCTTTAGAAGGCTTGCATGGACCTTTGAGCTAAAGAGCTGAACAACAAAATAGCTGCACTGTGTTATGCATAAGGACATTGCAGCACCACACAGCTGTAAGACGATGTCCTCACAGTGGTCAACCACCATTAGAAGGTAGTCATTTCCTCTTTTGCAGTGCTAGGCAAAGCAGGGACTTCTTTTCCAACCTGTCTTTCTCAAGCAAGGAGCTTTACAATCACCAGAGATATAAGATGTACTTGGGCCCCTGTTTTCTCCTGTGCCCATGCACTTGCTGGGTATCCTAAGCAAGTCAGGCAGCCAAGATAGCAAGGCACGGGGAGAAACTCCAGCAACCCCGCTACTTCTCTTCCGCAGTGTACCAGGGGAAAAGAGCAGCCTGCGTGCCCACATGTCTCCATCTCTGTCATCGCCACCTTGTATCCCAGAAGTGTGCAACCTATTATGGATACTTAAAGCTTCTAGAGATGAGAAAGTATTGGTTTCTTGGGCAGGAAATCTTAGAGCTGAGGAGGTAGAAATGTTAGACATGCTGTTGGACCTATGGCCAGCAGAGAGCACCAAGGAAGAGATGTTAGAAAGGGCTGCTCAGCCTTCTGCCTAAGCCTTTCTTTGGATGTCCACAGAAGATCCTGTTGGAACCAGAACATATTTGCCTTCTTACAGAGTAATACCTTTGCATCGCACAGACACCAGAGCAAAGACTTTGAAACTTTAATGCCTCCAGAAAGAAATAAAAAAAGAACGAGATTTTTTTTTCCTGTTAATAAGACAATAGAATGATACAAACTCTTGAAATTATTTCATCTTTATTTCCCTAAATTTATGGGGATATCTTGATACTCACTTCAGGATGTGTAACTGCTGTATCCAGAAGTTAGCAATGTTTCAGAGAGAGCTGAAAAGTCCAACAAGCGTAGGTAATTAGCTGTCAGAAACCCGTGCATATCTGGTTTCTCTCTCTTGGGTATCTTGGTGTGTTTGAAGATGCTACATATCTTCTTCTGAATGCAATGCACACATAGAATCATAGAATCAGCTAGGTTGGAAAGGACCTTTAAGATCATCAAGTCCAACCATTACTCCAGGACTGCCAAGACCACCACTAAACCATGTCACTAAGGGCCTCGTCTACATGGTGTTGGAACACTTCAGCGATGGTGATTCCACCACTTCCACGGGCAGCCTATTCCAATGCCTGACAACCCTTACTGACATTACTTTTACAAAAAAGTAATATACGTAATGTACAGTTAGCTGCCACACGTTTAAGAATGAATTTTTTAAGATACTTTTATCAAGTAGAAAATTGAATTCTAGACATGTTACATGACAGGTTACTGAAATTATTCACTCTTTTTTTTTTTTTCCTTTTTTTGTTTTAAGGGTGAGCCAGGAAAACCAGGAGAACAAGGATTAATAGTAAGTACTCCGCTGGTATGTAACAAATACGTGACATGTATACTTTTTAAAAATGTGAAATTCCAAAAAGCTTTATAGCTGTGTATTTTCTAACCTTCCTTTGTCACAGACTATTTGAAACCTCATTTGTGAAGAAAACATGAGAAAGACAACCTGCTCTTTTTACATACAGTTGCCTGTCATATAAGGCCAACTTCTTTAAGCTTGTAGTAGAGGGAAATGAAACATCTAAGAGCAAACAGCAAAGCAAAAGAGTCAAGCCAGGTGTTCCCAGTTCCTGGCCCCCACTTATCACTGTCTCTGAAATTGAGCTGTTTCTACCTTGAGAGCATTGAGCAGCGCAAGAACCATCTACTTGTTTTAAGGGCCAAAATCCCAGCTGTCTCTGTGGCAATAGCTCTTGGCTCTTTGCCTGATGGAACAGTGAAGACACAGCACAGCCCACTAAAACTCTCAGAATGTTCTCCTCTCCTGAGGTTTTGTTTTTTCTCTCTGTGTGTGTGAGAATGTGAAAGAAAACTGAATGCATTTTTTTACAAATATTCAGATATGGCAGTAAATGTTTTCTGTTGCATCAGGAACTAATTAACCCTATTCATTTGGAAGCAAATTGAAGTTCCACTGGTTGTAAATCAGCCTCAGCCACAGGGCAAGGCATGAGAAGTTTCTGCCTGTCACATATTCTCAGAACTCTGAAACATGCGGTGGTTCTTTTCCCTTAAGATCCCCCTAAACACTTATGGTCATTCTTATTTTTATGAGAGATGACAGAACTGTAGCCTGTGGCATGTGGTTTTGATTCCTGAATGCTTCTGAGGAGGAAGATTATATGCTCAGCAATCACTGCAGATATGATTGCTATCTGTTTGTGTTCATGAAGTTTTAAACAGGTGTGATGATCTTTAACCTTGACAAATTGCAAAACAATTTGAATTAACAAAATCCAATATCTTCTGGAAGAATAAAAAAAAAAGATTCTGAGGCTCAGAAATACCTGCTGTGATCAGGAAGCTAAAGTCTTCTACTTTTTCATTTCAAGATAATGGTTTAACAAAACCATTCTAGGTTAATTCTGCAGGAATTCTTTTGTAAGAACTTGCCTTTGTTTCACACCAAGAATCTGAAGTGTGAGTTACCTTCCTGTTTCTTCTTCCTGATGAAATTGAAACTGTGAAGCCAATGGGTCCCATAAAGTACTACTGGTCCCGGTGGCCAGTGGGTCCACTTGTTGGAGTGTACTGTGGTTTCCTACTTGACCGCATGTCCAATGCCCTTTCCAGTAAGAAGCAAGCATTGTGGCATGTATTCTGGTTCTTTGTCCAAGATGGAGGCAGGATATAGCCAAGGAGAGCACCAGATGATGCAAAACAGTCTGTACAATTTGGATGTATTTGCAGAAGGTTGTGGAAACTGAAGGCTACCTGTAGCCTACAGGATCACACTCTCAACAGCTTTAAGTTCCATGATGCTGTTCAGGTGAAGAAGAGCTGCAAGCCTGACCTCAAGATTGTTATAATGAGGATAAAAACTTTTCTTTTTCATGAAATATCTCTAGCACTTATATTTGTAATGATTCTTGGTATTTCTAGGTGAATGTACAGGTTATTCATAGAACTTGTGAATCAACAACGGCACAGCTTGAAATTGCTTAGTCTTCTATTTTCTCTTTTTACAAGAAGTGGATAAATTTCTTGAAGAGCACAAGATAGTAGCTAATGAGAAAGCAGTGTTTTCCAGCTTGTGTCTCAGAATGTACCACAAGTTTATTACACATGTTGAGTAATTTGTGACCTACTCAAACAATGTGTGCCTTGATTCACAAAAAGCTAAAATCATTTTAATACATTTGGAGTTCTGAGAACGTTCATGTTTTCCATCCAGTGACATAGGAAAACCAGTGGCTCTAGTGAAGACAAAGATGTGACAATTTTCTCCAAAGGAGAATTTGCTGCCATGTTATCTATTTTTAATGAAGTTTTTTGTCAATAAAGAAAAAGAAAATAGTGTTTCAGATGATGTTGAGAGGACAGTAATAACTTTTCTTACTCTCAAGCAGAAGTTTGCTTGGACTATATACAAAGAGTAACTGAGTTCTCTGGCGTGAATTCTCCTTTGGCGCACAAGAGAGCTCAGAACCTGCCTTAGGTGCACTAGGGAAATTTGCCTTGAAGACAGAGAATAGCTTCTCTTCTTCCCAATTTCCAACGTAAGTGTGTGTGGGTTGAGACAGGGTAGTGGGAAGAAAGGTTTAGGAAAGCTAATTGTTGCTTACAGGGGTCTCTCGTTCCCAGTTGAAAATCTTTCCAGATTGTTGGAGTGGGCTTCTATTGCTCTTCTATCCTTGCAGTCAAGACGTTTGCAAGGGGGTTTTGGCTCTATATGTTGCTATGTCAGGAAGAATCTGTCTTCTCTTTGAGCCACGAGAGTTCAAGTTCTTTTTAGGTGAGATGGAGGCTTAGGTTTAAGTTTTAAAAGTATTGACTATATGCATCTTTAATGTTATAAAAGAATGTAAGAATGATGAGTTAGTTGTAATTTGTGTCTGGTTTCCACGGCACTTGAAAGCCCTGCAGATCTACTTTCTGCAAGAGCTGAAGGTATCATTCCTCTGTGCAGAAAGGATTAAGAGAATTCAGAGGGAGGCCAAGTAGTGGGGTGACCAAAGGGATTACGTTTTGAAATGTTATGTGGAACCAGCAAAATGTATTTTATGCAAGAGAGAAGGCCAGCAATTTCCTTAGCTTTTCAGGCTTTTCAGTTAAAGTTGTGTTCTGCCTCTCATAATTCATCCTTCTTCCCATGCTATTTGTCTGCTATTCCTCATTATATGCTCTCTTAAATGCCATACACATTTTCCTGTTTTATTTTCTCATTTTCAGAATTAATCATTAATGAATATGTGACTCTTTTCTACCCAAGAGCTAGGATTTCTAGTTCATGAGAACTTAAAGTGAGTCAGTGATGGGAAATCTCCAGGGCTGACACTGATAATCTACATTTTCCAATTCATAAGTTGCAACAGTATAGAAGGTGTGCATGAGGTGGTTTTCTTTCTAATTTTCATATGAGAGAGTTTTGGATGCTTTTATATATAAAGTATTTTAAACTAGTGTGTAGTCATAAAAAATTGGAAGATCAAAATTTGCAGTGATTTCAGCTTCTTGGAAAAGAAGTAAATTTAAACATGGTCAGTGTATGAATCAACCATTTCTTGTCACTGAAAAAACCCTGCATATTATTTTATCCTCCAAAATTGGCTGTAAAGACAGGTAAGTAATTTTACAGATGTTTTGCATGAACAGAACACTCCAGAATAATCAGAGAAGTCAGGTAAAGGTGTCTCTTTTGCAAAAAATATCTGTACTGTAATGATCAATCCAAATGTAAAGTCCCTCTTTAAAATATATTGGTTTCCAAACTAGTAGTTATGTGCTTATACAGTCTTGCTGGGCGTCTGTTCAAGAAAATAAGACTTAATGCTACTGCTTTTGCTAGTTATTCAGAATAAAGAGGATGTTCTTCCAAAGCGTATTGCTATTTCTGTGAAAGACAGTGGAAACCTTGCAGTTAAGTCTGCAAAATGTCACATCTTTAAAATTTATGAAGATTCATTTTTCACCTTAGGTTAAAATGAATAAAATGGACACATAGGGATCAGGCAGAGCTGACTGGGAAGTGCTGCTAAGTTCAATTCAACCTTTTAGGACAATGGCCAAGACCAGATGCTCAGCTGGTGTGAATCTTCATAGCTCCTCCAGGAACCTACTAATTGTGGTTTTGTTTTCAGTGGCCAGAGTTCTGCAGCAGCCTTCTTTGTTTCATTCTGGTAGCATATTCATAGCAAGTTTTACGAGGTGGTGTTCTTATGCTGTTTAGCTGCAAAAGCTTACTAGGAACTAGCAGATGAAATGGAAATTCTCAACCTGTGCCTCTCACAGAAACTGTTAGTTTTTTTTCCCCAATACAATTGCATTGGCCATGACTTGCAGGTAGTCTCAGGAGCAGTAGTCTTTGCCGTTTTGTAACTTCTGTACTTTAGTAATGGCTGCCACAACAATGACTAAGGCAGTGATAATAAAAAGCTCTGCCTGATCATTAATTAATACTTCCTGCTGCTCTTTTCATCAGTTAAGGTAGATAACATAGGAGGGGATACTACTTAATCTCAAATTAGGTGAGATTTCCCATTATAGTTAATCTGTTTTCTTAGCTGGTCATTCTTTTATCTAGGTGACACATCAATACTAAAGCATTGCACATTTCAATACTTGTACTCTAGATATCGCAATCTATATGAAACACTCCTCAACCATTCAGGAACACATTTCCAGAATAACATCACATGCCCGCTACACACAGAAAATGGGATCAGTGGGTAGTACAGGCTCTCCTGAAATGCACATGAATACTTTGTGTGAAACCTGTGCTTTCCTTTTCATGTACATCTACTAGTTCAGGTTTCCTTCATAAGTTCTTTATGCCTTTAGACTGGTAAGAAATCAATCTGCGGGAATAAGGAAGTGATCATCCTCCCATACTCAGCACTAGTGAGACTGCATCTGAAATACTGTGTTCATTTTTGGGCCCCTCACTACAAGAAAGACATTGAGGTACTGGAACATGTCCAAAGGAGAGCAACAAAGCTGGCGAAAGGTCTAGAGAACCAGTTCTGTGAGGAGCAGCTCAGCAAAGTGGGGTTGTTTAGTCTGGAGAAGAGGAGGCTCAGACCTTATTGCTCTCTACAACTACCTGAAAGGAGGATGGAGTGAGGTGGGGGTCTGTCTCTTCTCCCAAGTAACAAGCGATAGGACAAGAAGAAATTGCCTCAAGTTGCACCTGGGAAATTTAGATTAGATATTAGGAAAAATTCCTTCTCAGAATAGGGTTGTCAGTCACTGGAACAGGCTTCCCAGGGAAGTGGAGGAGTTACCATACCTAGAAGTATTTAAAAGATGTGTAGATGCAGTGCTTAGGGACACAATTTAGTAGCAGACTTGGCAGTGTAAGGTTAATGGTTGGACTTGATCTTAAGGTCTTTTCCAATCTAAATTCTATTCCAATCTAAAGTGTTTAAGGATTGTTATCGACACCAAAGGGGAAATATGTTATCTCAGTGACAGTCTTGAAACTTCTTTTGTCCCACAGAAATAAAGACACAATACCTCCTAGAGGCCTTCTCATTACAAAAAGCTTTTACTTTACATAGGAAATATGGAAGTTTAAAAGAAAAACAGGTTTTTTTTTCCCCCAAAGCTTTGGAATAAGAGGTTTTTTTGTATAAGTGTATTACACCATTGTGACATATTTTGCTATATAACTTTTTCAGTGTAGTAAAAAAGAAAATCATTTTTTCATTTTATTTTTGTTAGACATTTTCATTTGGTGTTTGTTCTCACTGTCCATGAACTTTGATACCTTGTAAAACAAATCCTTACTGCTGCCTTAGACCTGCAAATTGAAAGTACCCAAACATACATATCTTTAAGTGTTTAGCAACTGAGTCACTGAAGTTGAATACAGAACACCTTGAGAGGCTATTGCTAATGTATCACACCCTGAATGTGTGTGCTTTGAAACTGCAGCTTTAACCTTTACAGGGCAGAATTATTTCTTGTTTTGCAGCTTGCTAAAGCATAACAAACAGAATAAGCTTAAGAAGAAAATACAACTGTAACATTAGAAGGGAAATCTAGGAAGAATTCTGGACTCAGAACATTTGTTCTAACTACATTTAGGTCAGACTTTTCAGTTTGGTTGGTTATTTTTTGAGTTGGGTTTTTTTAAGTAACAAAAAGGCTCAAGAGGCAATCTCCATTCCTGGGACATAAAAGTAGCAGGTTTGAACTATGACGGTAGTCTTCAGCTGGTCAGTCTGGCTTACTGATGGAGGGATTTTTCTTAAGATATGAAATATCCCCAAAATACAACTGGTTAATATATGAAAGTTCATCAGATAAGTGATGCCCAGAACATAGATGTTTGGAGCTTATTTTGGTAGCAGTGATGTAGGAATGCTCTAGTTTGAGCATTAATCCTTTGGGGTTTTTCAAGATGTTAGCTTATCTTGCACCTTTCTCACAGAAGCGGATGATTCCTGGTTCATCATTGCCACGGTGTCAGGCATTGGAAGAAACTTCCTTCTCTTGAAGAAGAGGAAAAATATGTATTTGTGGAGCATGTAGTTTTATCCATGGTTCCTTACCCAGCAGGCCACTCTTACTTACCAGCATCCTCTTGATTTGTGTATCTTATTCTTAATCCATTTCAGTTTTCTTGGAGACTGTTTGCAAGCAATGCTTAAGAAATAGGTTGTACTTCATTGCAGTACCACTGGTGACCTCAGCCTCCAGCAAGTCTAAAGGTTAGAATTCAGGTACTTACTGAAAAGATGACCTGATTTAAATAGCATTTTTTTCACAATGCAGTGAGCTGGGGGCATTTTTCTCCAGTCTAAAGCAGCAGATGTTTACTCTACTTGTTCTGATCACCACCATTAAATTTTCAAGAAGCAACACTCATCTATGTTGCTGCAAGATTTGATGCATAACCAATGTAAGAATCCACATTTAAAAAGGCAGGGTTTTCAGCCACATCAGTAGATCCAGGACCCAGACATACGACCACTGGAGCTTTTCCATTTTTGCAGTTTAATCTTCTATCAGAGCAGTGTTCCAACAAGCCATGCATCTACCAGCAGGGCAGGATTCCACCTAATTTCAAACTACATTAAGAATAAAATTGGCTCTGCATTTTGAAGCAGAAATATTTCTTCTTTTTCTTTTTTTTTTTTTTTTAATAATTGCAGTTTTGATATCAATTGTTCTTTTATTCATTCAAACATTAGAAAGATTTTGATTCTTCTGGTTTTGGTTTTTGTTTTGCACCTTCATGGACTGCACCTTCATGAATTCACCTTGCTTTGTATAGCACCAGCACCCACAGGTTGCACCAGCATCTGTAGTAGGAACATGGGGAAGAATGTGGACATGGTCTGGCTCTTACCCAAAAAGACTGTGAAAATGTCAAAGACTTGGTTGGCTAATCTATTTCCCTCCTGCCTCCGCTCTCCACTCCACAAACAACCTGGGTACTTCAGAGAAGCCAAATGAGAAATGGGTCCTATTAATACCAATGAGACTTTGATGCCCGTATGACATTAAGCAGTTAAGCTTTCCTGAATTGAGATATCTCTTCCTGCCTTCCCAAGTCATGGGGACAAAATGGTGATTCTTTACTTCCCAAGTGCATTCTTAATGATTTCTGAAGTTAATTCTTAATTATTTTTCTCTTAACTTGCAAATGATGGCATAGATCACGTGTTGGGTAAAAAATAGTAATGCATGCTGATACCTAGAAAGTGAGAAGATTATGAGGTTTATGCTTCTTTCTATCTTCAAAATATTTGTTTGCGTAAACCTTGTTTTTATGCTGCTGAGCAGATTTATTACTGTGGACACACAGCTGGCTGTTAGCTGGTACCAGAAAGAGAAAAAACACTGTCACCTTAATGCTGACAGATTTGTCAGTACTATAAGAAACAGACGGGTTGGAAGAGAAAAAATTAGAAGGGGAAAATTTGAGTCTTACAGTTAGTAGTTAGATCAGTTCCAAAAGAGAAAAGATCCATTGTGCATTTTGAGCATAAAGTTTTACTTTGCCTTGATGTATAAAACATCAGCCGGTTTCAGTCCAGTATCAGAATGCTTACACAATAAGACAGTTTTAATTGGTCATTTCAGTTTAAATTGGCTAGAGTTATGATGTTAATTGAATTGTTTTCCCTTTGCAGGGACCTCAGGGGCCTCCAGGACAAAAGGTATAGTATAAACAACAATACTGTGAAAGTGATTATTCCTGCTGGTGCCAAATTGCAAGCAGAAAAGGTGAATGGAATTAGCTACTGTACACTGCATTGGATCAGTTAGTTTAGGCTCTGAATTTTGTTTTTGCAAAATGCAGCCATATAAAGTGAGACATCAGATTTCTCATTTCCCCCATCGTAGGAAGTCCAAGCAATGCAGAACAGACTGTTTTCAATCTGTGTGCTTAACTTTCAGGTGAAAAGGTGGCTATAATTTTCTTACTTGTGCAATGGTGCGACTAGGAAACCAATGTTAAAATGTTATGAAAGGTGGGGAGATAGAGTTTCTGATTAAATGCATGCCCTTACTCAAGTAGATCAGTGCCATATGACTAAAGAATTGACCACCAGAAACAAAGGACATAGGTGTTGCTGATAAATGGGGCTTGGCTGATGGTGTTCAGGTGGTCTGCCAGTATCTTCCTGTTCCTTCAGTAACCCAAGACCTGACCTCCTGGGAATGCTGTCAGCATTATTTACGCTCATTAAACCTGACTGCCTCAGTTTGATGTAGTGAGTTTAGGATTTATGGAATTACACCATTAAAACAGTCCTAGGTATATCAGCAATAGCACCTATTAAGTGCCACTTTTCCAGCATCTCACCCACACACCACCAAGGCAAGTAATTTTCTAGTTGATTTCAAAAGATTAATAAATTGTATGGAAGATACTTAATAAAACAGGCTTGAAATGTATAAAGAAAAAAAGTAAGAGGAAATGAATAAGTAGTATTAACATATGTGAGAAGGATTCCACCTCTGTCTTTCATTTTCTAAGATAATATTCTTTAAGGTGAAGATTTGTTTGCGTCTGTTCAAATGGAACTTTTTGAACAAAAGAAAGAAAACCTCACTGATACATAAAAATGTAATCCCAAAGCATATAAATCCATGGAAAATAGATAAACTGGTGGAAATTTGTCAGCTGTGGGCTGTGCAGAACTTGCAGGCTGAAGGAGAAGACTACACTTCATGTTTCACAGTGCAGGAATGTGGCATTTTAAACTGTGCTGATGTCTAAGTTGCCATTTAAAATTATGCCCTCAGATTTGGGGAGGAGGGTATTTTACATGTACAGCATCAGCAAAACTCATCTGCTGATTAGCTTTTGAATATCTGATAACTTGGCATGGTAGAATCAGCTTTATTTACACTCTCTAACATCTTCTGTCTCATAAGAAAAATCAGCAGCTATAAAAGATTGTCATGGAGACCAGGAACTGTTATGATAGTTTATTGAGGCTGCTGGTTTAATGCCGTCCTGAGCTTTGTCTTCTAGTTTTCTGGAAATGTTATAGAAAGATGTGGAAATGTCCGCTAGGAACCCTTGGTAGTCATGACCACGCATCCAGCAAAAAGAGGCAACACAAATGCTAAAATGGAAGCTTTGGCAGTAAGGGGAGAGCATTCTGGGTCATGGAGATGCAGTGGGATGCCACAGTATTATTTCTTACTGATTTATAGCTCTGTTATGAGTTGGAGCCCCTTGGGCATTCAAATGTTGGAGGTTTTTCAAGACCCTCATGAGTTGCCTCTTTTTCTTTTTTCTCAGGATTTCTCAACTCTATTCATTGGCAAACATGTGCATCCATTCTGGGTACATGCTTCTGGGTGTTGGTGCCCTTTGACTAATCCATTTCTAGTGAAACCTCCAACCAATATGAATAGATGGGGAAATGTCACACACTGTTTTTTTAGGGATAAAATCAAAAAGAAATAAAGCAGGACATAAGAGTATTCACAGGGTGCTTATTTGTCTTAAGGGTCCCATGAAACTGCACACTTCACTGTTGACAGAGCCTGTGCTTTTCCCAGTCCCCTGTTCTCTTTTTAGGGTGCCAGCCTTTCAAATACAGCTATCACACTTTTGTATCCTATTAAGTTGATTATAAATGAAAAATAATGCTCTCAGTTTCCTTGCTGAGCAACACCATTGTTATACAAAAAGAGGATAATGTTGGATAAGCGCACATAGTGTTCCTGCTTTCTTCATGCCTCAGGTTTTCAATGAACATCCGTAACAAGTCACACAAGTTCCTTTAGAAAAATTGTCCATCATATAGAAACTTATAGTGTGATTGCTTTGTAAAAAGATCCCTCAGATGCTACAAGTCAGTATTAATATTTTGCTTTCCTCTTTGCTCCTTGTGTTGGCTTTTAAATTTTTATTGCAATAATACTGATGTAATTTAAAAGGGTATCTGTAATTTGCACTGTCAGGCTGAATTGTTGCAGATCATCTCTTAAAAGCCTTATGATAGATTGGCGCTGCCAGTTATTGAGCTTGAAACATCCCTCTTGAAGCAAGAATAATTTTGTTCAGGTGGTATGTTTGTTTGTGTAGGATCAGTCTCAAAATTTATCAAAAGCATTAAATAGAATTGCATCTTAATTCTTACATTTCTTGTGAAGCATCCACAAGGTTACAAAGCTTGAAGCTTGTTTCTGAAAGAGGCCATACAGTGAGACAGTTGCTAAAACGTGCAGCATGAGAACATGTGTAATTGGTATAAGATCTCAAATTAAAAGAGAGCTCAGCTTGGATAAATGTTAGTTTTGGAATAATTTATGCAGTTACAATAAGCAAGCATTCACCATTATTTTTAAGCACTGTATTAAGAGATGAAAGGTTTCATGACCTGTTTAATTTGCTAAATGCTGGCGTCTGTTTCCCACCAGGGTTCTGTCGGAGTGCCTGGTGTTCCAGGGAGAGACGGACAAGTGGTGAGTTCACTGACTTTGTCAGCACTGCAGTTATTTATGTAGTTGATTAAAGATCCTTAGGGCTTGTTCACATGAGCAATATGCAACCTTGCATCCAGACCTGTGGTTTCAAATTGGCTTAATAGAAAAGACTCTACAATCTGATTTGTGCTCTAAAGTATTTTTTTCTAGTTATATTTAAACAAACAGCAAATATAATTAACTGAGCTGAAAGTCTGATGCCCAGATTTGATGACGACTGATAGGTTCCTGAGAGAAATGTGTATTACTGATGTGCAACTTTAAACAGTATGTTTACAAACTTAGTTTTTTCTGCAGATTTTTTTAATTTTTTTTTTATTTTTTAACTCAGTACATGATGCAAACACTTATGTTGATATTGGGTATTTATACAGTGTTAATATATTGTTAATACAACCAACAAATAGAGAATAAAGACAGACTGGAAACATATGTGGAGAATGATGTAAATTGAAGTTGGGGATGAAAATGCAGAGAAATAAATCAAGCAGAAATATTCTTGAATGCAACTGGGATAAAATGTTAACTCAGGCATGTCAGTGTCATCTTTCAGTGCCAACACCAAGTTAACTCTCAGTTCAAAACAGCCCTCCATAAGGAGGGGTCGCAGTAAAGCAGCAGGGCTGTTTCATGGCATTGCTAAGGTTTGTTGGCAAATCTGAATGGTGATGTTTAAATAATATCACTCCCTGAAGGTAAACAGCATTATCCATCTGTTGTTCTCACAAGGACTATCATTCCTAGTGAACTTCAAAAGCACTAGCAGGGAATGCCAAAAGGAAAATGTATGATATTATAAACGGGTTGTTTACTGTGTTGAAGCAGCAATAGGTGGTAATGTATAAGGTTCACATCATACAATCTCTTCTTCTGTCTCCCTCCCCAAAAGCCCTAGAAATAAATGCGCTGTTTCAAATAATTTTTAATTTCTCTTTCCTAAGAAAAAGGATGTATTGTTTCTAATAGCATAATATACAGTATTAGACCTGTGTTTTGACAATGGCTGTAAGAAATGATGTAGTAATCATTTTTTTTTCACTTTAGTGATAGTGACAGTGCTAGGAATCTATTTTTTAAATGCTCAGAGTATTATGACTACTGTGTAATGACAAAACAAAAAAAAATAGAATTAGCTATATATAGCATACAAGTGATTATAAGAAAATATTATATAAAAAAAAATTGCATTAAGACCAGACATTATTTTCCTTCATGTTTTATAGCTATGTTCAATTGCAACAAAATGCTAGACAGTAGTTGCCAACACAGATGCTTTTGCTCTACATAATTCAAGTAAATTTTGTGACCAAAGTATGTGTGAAAAGCCAGTGAAGACACATTTTGTAGCATAATTTCCTTTGGACCTGCAGGAAAACTGGACAGGGTGAAGCTTCATACCGTATTGAATAGAACAGAACTGATGATTCAGATTTTATCCAAGAGCTTTGCTTTTAATAGTGTTGTCACCCAAGCTCTAGCCAGAAATCTTCACTCAGATTGGCACAAAAAGTGGATGTTCATGAGTCAAATGTGTCAAATGCACAAAAAATATCTGGTTATTAAAGTGTCATTCCTGGGGATGTAGAAATTTTTTAAGCTCTACTAGCAAGGTTGTTGTATGTCTGTTTTTAGGACACCACATAAACTTACCCGGAGTCATGTCTTATGGGGAAGAAAAAAAATATGCAGTTGCCTTTGATTAAGGGAAAATGCAGACATCTTTAAATGCTGTTTATCAAAGCATTCACATACACACTTGATTTTAAGCATTTGCTTAATGCTCGCTGCCTTTTAAACTAAGAAAATTGTGCTTTTAAAACAGGTCCTAACATTTTCAATTTGTTGTATAATGTTTATTTGATTTAGTTCAATATTTACAGGATCTAAAACTTTTAAGACATTCTTAAATTATTACCATGTTAATAAAGATGTCTGTATTTTTAATGTAGCTGGACTATTTTACTTTTGACCTGAAAGAAAAAAACATATTAATTACTAAACTAAAATCTAGATACTAGAAAAAAACATACAGATAAAAATGAAATGTGGTCACATTCTTTTTGTTTACTTTCACAGTTGTTGGTTGATATTGGCTAGCAAGTACTTCCTTATGTGCAGAAAACGTATTGCTTTCATGTAATACTAAGCTGATGAAAAATGAATGTTGCTATCTTTTAATAAATAGCTAAAAAATTCTGCTAGCTTGGAAATAGTGTTAGAAATAAACTTAAACTGAAGCAGTATGTATCTAAAGTTAGAAATCACAGTGCAGCCTAGGACTCCCATGCTACCAAAAGGTCTTTTCTTCTAATTTATATGAAAAAAACAGATTCGCAGTGTAGTGTGACACAGAAGATATTGTCGAATGAAGACCGGAGCAGTAATTTTAAGATTTGGTCTGTACTAAGAGCTAGCTGCTGGCACTCCTGGCTTTACTCATACAGATTCATGTTGATCTGCAGAATAGTTGAATTTGACTTGAATGTGTGATGCAAGTCATCCCCTTTTTAGAAGTTATGTAGTTAAAAGGCTTTACAAAAGCCTTACTGTCTTGGTAGCCTTTTAACCAGTGCGCTCACTCTGTCAAAAAGCAGCATGTACAGTGCACTAAGTTCCAAGTTAACATTTTTTCTTAGTTTAAAAGGCAGTGAGTGTTAAGCACATGCTTAAAATTAAGTGTGTGTGAATGCTTTCCTCATCTGGACAATGAAATATTTTTCTGCTGATGAATGTCAGCAGTGAATTAGATTTGATCTCTCCTTAAGCAGTTGAATAATAAGAGTTAGGTCATCTCCATCTCACACATGTCTCTCTAATTTTCTTTTTCCTTTCCCTTTACCTCTTCTGTAATTGAAATAGTGGATTATGGGAGATGATTGACAACTCTGACCAGTGGGCCTGGGAATGAGATCATAAATTCTGAGTGCATTTAGAATGTTTTTCTAATCCCTTAACATATGAACCACTTCTCTTAGACAATCTTTAGATATTAGAGTAAGTGTAAATTTACACAACCCACATGTTTTTGCAGGACTGTGAACTAGCAGATTTTTCTTGTATTAAGAATAGTAGCAAAATCATTGCCATGAAAACTTCACAGTTTTTTTTCTTTTAGGTTAAATACAATGAAATGTTACAGGTAATCCTGTGAGGGCATTACAGTCTGAGTTTGTTCTTACATTTGGGAAACTCTAGCCACAATCTGCTTTACTTGTTGAGAACAGTAACTGGAAAGGAGCTGCAGCTAGAGGAGTGTTGTCCTGGGATGGATAGAAACCTTCTGAGATAGCAAGGAGAGTCCTTTTGAGTGCTCCCTCTCCTTTGCAGACTGTTGTGCAATCCAACTGTGGCAGGTTGCTTCCTAGCAAGATGCTACGGGAAATAACCTCCTCTTTCTCAATCCCTGTCAAGAGGTCCTCAGGAACTTGAATGGTATGAAAAAAGGATTATATTTACATAGAGATGCAAGGTTGCAGTGCTCTAGGGATATCAGAACTCTACATTAATCATGTTGAAATGGCCAGAAAGGGGTTCTTGGAAAGTTGACTGTGCAAGTATAGGACACATATCCTGGTATTTCTTAAGCGATACTGATTTGATAAGGACTTCCAACGACTGCAGGAACAACACAAGGAGGAAAGGGGAGGTTCCCTAAGTAAGGATTGCATTTTGCCTGAAGGTACCCAGTTTCTGGAGTCTGTCCATCTAATTCTCTTTGTTTTAAACAGGAGCTTGTCTGGAGTGCATAAACACCTCACTCTATACTTTCATGAAATGCTTTTTCTTATGTAGTGCTTGATATTTGGTGGGGGGAGTGGGGTGTAAGAGTCTGTTGAGAAGAGAATACGTGGTGGGGATAGATCCCTTTATTTCAAATTGTTTCAGAAGTTTGACAATATCAATTTGATAAACCTCGGAATTTCCCTTCTTATCATTAGACTTACTGATAAGACTTACCCAGGAATCTGGGTATGCACATTCCTTATTGCTTTCTTCATGCTTCTTATTACTCTGATTTACATGTATTTCCTGATTAGTGTGTACTGTACTATGTAGGGGAGACGTTTTGAAAGTAGTATTATCCTATTTCTTTAGAGAAATAAGGATGGGCATATGCATCCTAACATTTTTTCAAATAAAGTAGCAAGGAAGGGAACATCATTAAATATAGTTCACAAATTCTCAGACAGGTTTGCAGGCCAGCTGAATCTTGTTGAAGAGTCTTTCCACTTAATTTCATCTGGTGAGTGGTCCAGCAGAGATTTCCAGCCCTTAAACAAACAACTTTAAGTTACTTTTGAGGAGGTGAAAAGTAAATTGAAGGAAGGTAATTCAACCCTGGTTTGAAATTGAAATCACAGTAACATGTCTGAGAAACCACTTCTTTTCCCTTCTGTCCTTGTTTATGTATTTTAGAGTAAAATTAGACTGGATTAGGTTTGGGGGCCTCATGTATTTCCTTATCCTTAAAATTGATTACATTCTACTGACTGAAAAATATAGCAATACTGACAGCCTTTCTTCTGAGGGTGAGGTGGATATCAAGCAGCTGGTGTAGGCAGAATTATGCATCCCACCAAAACCAAACCTATTTCAGATCAGCAGCCTCCAGGCTGTTTTCCTGTTACAAACAAGAAAAGCTGGGGCCTCCAGCCACGTTATTTTTAGCTTATTAATTCTGGATATGAAGGTATATGCCTTCAGGGCACAGAGCACTCCAGTAAGGAGGAGCATGCTTTCAACTGCATTGGCTCCTTTGATATGGACTCTAGTGGGTGCTACATTTTCAGATATGTTCTGAAGTAGGTCTTATAAGTTTGTATTGACAGATTTTTCTCATATTAGCAGCAAAGCCCAAGCAGTGCCCTACACATCTGAGCACTCAGCAAATTCATTTTAATGTAAACATTAATACTGTTCCTTCCACTAGAGTATCTGAGGAAATTACAGCTATTTATTGGGTAGGGTGCTGAAGGATGTTCTTTGCCCAAATAAAAGAAAGAAAGAGAGTACAACAACGTTAACACAGTTAAACAGTTAATATCATGTCGAGAATGCTAGGGCTTAAACTAAGGTGTTCTGGGGTGCTATCCAAAGGAATATCCTTTTGGTTATTCTTTGAATTATCTGAAACTCCTGAATTGAATGGCTGGGTTGGGTGTTCTGAGACTACACAGGCAGGAAGGTTTTAGATCATGTTTTGCTTAGGGATTCCAATCCCTCTCTCCCTGAGTGACAATTTCTCAGGAGTTCATGACTGCAGAATAGCAAGCTACGACCTAAAATCAGATGCATTATAGATGAAGTTACTTTTTAAATAGGAAAATGAAAAAAAAAAACATTCATGAGGTCATTTTTGGAGTTCTGTGTCCTGCTGTGGGCTCCTCAGTACGAGAGACACATGGATATACTGGAGAGAGTCCAACAAAGGGCCTTGAAGATGGGTAAGGGACTGGAGCATCTCTCCTATGAGGAAAGGCTGAGATTGATGAGGGAGTTCAGGCTCGGGGGGGAATCTCATCATTGTGGACAAACACCTGAATGGAAAGCGCAAAGATGCTGGGCCAACAGCTTTTCAGTGGCGCCCATTGGCAGGACCTGAGGCAGTGGGCACAAAGTGAAACACAGGAGGTTCTTTCTGTTTAGTACAGCAAGAAAAACTTTTTTCTTACTGTGAGAGTGACTGAGTACTGGCACAGGTTGCCCAGGGTGTCTGTAGAGTCTCTTCCAGGAGGTATTTAAAAGAAGCCATCTGGACATGGTCCAGGGCATGCAGGTCTAGGTGACCTTGCTTGAGCAGAGAGGTGAACCAGATGATCTCCAGGGGTGACTTCCTATCTCAACCATTCTGTCATTCTGTGAAAGAAAAAAAAAAACTAAAAACAAAACAAAACAAAAAAAAAAAACAAAAAAAAGAAAACAAAAAAATAAAAAAAAAAACCAAAGCTGTCTCAATTTGAAAGGTAGATGATGTGCAGAAGACAATTGTTTCTGCAGCCTCACACCTTTGCTGTCAGTGCTGAAACAGAGAGACTGCAATATGAGTCAGGAAAGACATTACCCATGGCCTGGTGAATGTAAAAATCATATGAGATTAAGATCTAGTTTTATAACTTCTGTCATTTTACTAAGTTGAATAGCAGTCTGATTGAAAGTATTGCATCAGATGACATCGTTGAATGTCTAATTTTCCTTTGTCTGCATCACTCCTAGAACAATAGTGTAACAGTCTTTAACCTTTTATGGGGCAGCTATACCTTTTGTTCCTCTCCAAACATGAGATGAAGCATGTGGGGCTGATGCATGCTCATACAGCATTTCACACTCCAGTTTTAATACATCCTTTAATTAATAAATAAATAAAATAACTAAATGGAAGGAAAGTAATTAGTTGTACTTCTTAACAGAAATATTTTAAATTATTTCCATGCCAAAAATCAAAATAATCTTTTGGGATGACTATTTCTAAAGCAACAGTATTTTAGTGTATATCGGGGAAGAGCTAACAATCTATTTGCCTTCAAAAACCTGCTGTTTTGCTTCATAAATACTTTGGGAATATCCTAACCAATGGGAGGTCTGTCAAGGCTTTGTCCTATTTGGGTTTGGTTTAGGGGTGGTGGTGTTGGGGTTTTGAGGTTTTTGGGGGTTTGGGGCTTTTTTGGTTGGTTGTATTTTTATGTTAGGCTTTAATGAAATTGTTAGACTATCTATACATACAGCCAGACTGCCATGCCTACAAGACACACGGTGTGAAAGAGGGAGATTCCCTGTAATAAAGTTAATTTTGCTGTGCCCTGGGAATGTTCACCGGGGGCAGAGTATAAAGTAGCTTATGTGCTGTACATTTTTATTTCACTTTATTACTCCCTGATTCCTTGTATGGACAAGAAAATAGGGTTCTAAAATAGCGAAAGGAATATTATAGGTATGAAAGAAAATTATGTTAGCCTCTGTTCCTCTGGCCATTAAAAACAGAAGGATAATCACTTCAAAAGCGTAAAGCCACAAGGTCATTTCTGGTGCTGTACTTCTAGGTTTGTCTTCAGTCTTTCCCATTCCCAGAGCTAATTTCTACTGTGCTAATGCCTCTGACTGGTACTTTCAGGGTCAGAAGTAGCGCTGGCCATAGTAAAGTCACATATATGTCAGCAGTTAAACCATTGGTGTGAATAAGGATTTACTATGACAGCCTGAGGTTTTCACTTTTTTCCAAAGAAAACAGGATAATTCTTTTGGTTTTATTGTCACAGTGGTAGCTCTTTGCATTCATAGCAGTGATGTGTAAACCTGGGAGGAAAGTGGAAGCTTGGGACTTCAACTCTTTGATTAGAAAATTAAGTCCCTGAAAGTGTCAGCTGACAGCAGCTGTTTTAAAACAAAGGGGGCAGAAACAAACTTGTTTGGGGTGTGGGGATGAGGAGAAACCAGTTCATATTCATTGGTCCCTTCTGCTTCATTTTGTCAACTGGCAGTTTTTTTCAAGTGCCTTTCTGGTCAATTCTTTAGGACACATACTCCTAATCTCCAACAGCTTCGAATCCTGACCACTCATGTATCAAATGCCTGTGCTACTCTATCAGCCTTAGAGCTAATGTAGTGGAAAGGAGCCTTGAAAAAGGGCTGACTCAAATGTTGTTTAATTCCTTCTGAGCCTAATGGTACTTAACACTTTTTCTCTGGCTTGTAAAACACCTCACTAGAGTTTTGCTAGAAGCTTGAAGCTTTTGTTTGTAGTTTGAAATGAAAATGTAATCGATGATCCTGTTACCTAATTTAGAGATAGAATGGAACCAGGTTTAATGGAGAATTGGCATTTATACAACTATGATTAAAGTATGACATGGAAGTAAGAAAAAGTCCTTTCTTAATGGAAGGCTTTTGTGGAAGTTTGGAAGATCTATGTTGTTGCATTTGGAACAGGTCTTCATCAAAATTCCCCTTTAACTTCTGGGTAGAGGGTAGGTTTATCATGTCTACTAAGTCTGTATACTGCATGAAAATTGTCCACTGAGTTTCTGATATGAATTGCTGTTTCTAATTTGATTACTATGTTAGCTATTTTCTTTAATTTTTACGTTTGTTTTTCTTTTTTTTTTTTACATTTACATAGCAAAGAGTTTATACAAGAACTTAGTTGCAGGCTTTTTCAATTTTTTTTTCATGTTATTTTCACATGCTTTTCCACCCTAGAAGTGCAATGCAGTTGTGTACCTGAGGGTTACCAAAGAAACTAGATATTTCTTGTGAAACCAAGACGCACTTCTGCAGAAAGTTTTACATAATTAGCCATCACCCCTAGTTGTTTTACAATCAAATCTACCCATTGCTTTATCATTTTACCTAAAATCAATAATGTCTGTGTTCTCTTCCAAAAACCTGAGAAATAGACACTAGAAAAAGGTCTTTAAGGGTATGGGTATTTTGTTTTTTTTTCTTGTTTATTTGTTTGATTAGGTTTTTTGTTTTTAAATTTGGAGGGGGGTGGGAGATTTTTGTAAATAATTGTTAATTTTGGACTGATTTATGAAAATTATTTATGACTTTTTAACCTGTGGAAAAGTATATGTTCTATCCATTAAACATCACTAAAATCTGGAATATCGATGTAATGCTGAAAAATTTTAAATCTTTTAAATCTACTTTTCAGCCAGTGGTATAAGAATATGAAAAAAATTGACAAGTAAGGTATATTTTAAAAAGTAAAAGTTGTCTGTTCTAAACTCTTATTTTCTGCAACGGGCCTTTCTCATTTTTCTTCATTATCTGCCTTCTGTATGAAACCAGAAGAACAAATGTCAAAGTAATTTCAGATAAGCCTTTCTTGCAGTATTTCTAAGTTGTAGAGAAGAGGAAAACGTTGGCAGTTTTGCCGGGAAGACTATGCTGTAAAGGTTAATTAGACAACTTTTCATAATTAGAAGTCACAGTTCTGTTTTCTGTTTAGTTTGACACCTGTGTATTCACACTGTGTATTTCAGCAGAATTATTTCTTATTATAGAGGAGTTAATTAGAGTTGATCCACTCTATCTGGTGAAATAAGGCAATTTAGTGCCCAACTGTGGAGGACGTGTTCATTGAATCTTTCTAAAGTTTATCGTTACCTACCCAATATCACACAGTAGGGGAAATGCTGTTAATATACTCAATCATGTCTGTCTTAACCCCATCTTTTGTTTTTCACCTTTAGGGTGAACCTGGTTTGCCTGGCATAGCAGGAGAGAAGGGAGCAGCAGGGCTTAAGGTTGGTATTGAAAATGGATTAAAAACAGAATCACATGGGATGTGAGTACATGTATAGATGACAGTCATGCTTTCCAGCTTAGGTTTATATTCTCACTGGCTTTTAATGATCTCTTCCCTCCAGTGATCACTGCTGTAAGAGGCTTTGCACATTCCGCCATAAAGAAGCATATTCTTCTGCTGTGCTGTGCATATAGAATTCCAGTCAGTGGCACTGATGCACATGCATCCTCTGCCAAATGAATGCAATATGCCTGCAAGTGTTTGGGAATTTGGGGACCTTTTTAGGAAGACTTTGTTTATGCTCCTTACAATGCGTTTCAGGCTTCTTTTCAAGAACTACTGTGGTCAATTCTTTGATGAATGTCAGGGTTAAGTCTTGAGAGCTGATCCTGCTATTATGAAAGCTAGCAGCAAGACTCATTAGAAGCATGCCTTAGCCTTTATTGTTGCATCACAATGTCTCTTTGCACTTATTTTGTTGTTAAATATTTTTTTCTGCTGTTTTGATATTGAAAAGTCAAATAGAACATAAAGCTTATGATAACTTCATTTAAAAGAAAGCTCAAAGTGTCTGAGATGGTGCTACCTGTGGGCCTCTTGGAATGGGTAATGCTAAATTCTAATCCCATCTCCTGCAAGTGTATGTCTTTGGTGCACATATGCTCCTCAGCTGATCCTGTGGATCACCCTGCTGCTGACAGACGCACAGGGCAGGCTCTTTGCATTTACTGACTGGCTTGAAAACAAACCATTTAGGAGCACGACCTTTTCCTACTTTGTATACAGAAGAAGCCAAATTATGGCAGTTGATGCTTAATTCGTATTCACAGCTGTAGCCTTTGAGTTGCCTAGCGACTGCCAGCCATCAAAACAGGCAGAGATGAGCTAGAAATGCAGAGATGAGTTGTCAGGGTCATGCTGGTGTGCAAAAGTACATTTGCCATTGAGCAAGTTATAATTTTGAAAAATAATGGCTATAATCCACCTTTTTATTACAGAGAATGTGAAGAACACTGAAGGCTCTTTGGCCTGTATAAATTATGAACTAGTTCAAGACATTTAAGGCATTTTGTCTTTTCCAAAGATCTTTCTAAGCCATTAACAGAATCATAAGACTTTCCCCTCATATTTGGCCTTTGGATTTTTTCTTTGTTTTATTCCCAAAACAAGGAAAACCAAGCATAGGAGTCACCTGGGTCCTGGCAGGCCTCTTCACAAAGACATATGCTTGTTTAGTTAGGGTTTAATCTAGGACAAAATGGGGGGAAAAAAAGTCTGCATGCAAATCATTAAGCTTTTAACATCATGTTGAAGATATTTGGCCTGTTGAATTCTATTGAATTACAGTATGTCACTGTTTATTGAAGATTTTCTTGTTGGATTTTATAATCAGAGACAATCATCAGTAGTGACAGATCGTTAGTAGCCGACAATCTGATGATCATAATATCAACACTGATTTTTGCTTATGGTAGTAACTTCTTTGCCTCAATTATTTTCATTAGGGTGACCCTGGAGAAAGAGGAGAAAAGGTGAGATATGTTCCACTTCCTTTGTTGTGGTTCTGTTTTGTAGAACTGTTTGGAGAATCACCAGTGCACTGATTCTGAGTTTAAGAAGAAATAAATATAGCTACTACCTAGAACTTGTGCAGCATGGTGCAGCCTTTATAAGTATCAAATAACACCTACTAATGAAAGTCACTGCAGTGTGATTAGTCGGAGAGAGCAGTGGTCATGTGTTAGAGGCTGCACAGTTGAGTAACTGTGAAAATAATCCTAATTATGATTAGTCTCAGAAAAAGATGAGCCTGTCTAATAAATGAGAGATCTACACATTTCTTATAACTTGATGTTAATGCTCTGTCACCTGTGTCAGTAAAACAATTAGATAACAGGGTGATAACTACATAGACTCTGAATGGCATATATGTAACAAGTTCACCCCATACTGAAAGTGGAGCTCTCCATTCTTGCATGCATTAGTTTAAGTAAAAGCAGGGGAAACTGCACCAACAATCTTAGGCTGTAGACTGTCCAGAGGGGTACCAGCAGCACCAATTGAATACTAATGGTGTTGTGACTTGCAGCAAGTTAGCAAGGAGTTACTGGTCTGACATCCACAGTCATGCTAAGGGAAGACAAAGGGGTGCAACAAGCTCCACACAGCAAAGCTTGGGTTTAATTACGATTTTCCAGGGAAAGTGGCCAGTAGGAGCTGCCATGTAAAAGTACACACTGAGAGTCAGGCTTCTGCAGCTGAACAAAGGAAGTTTGAGAAATGGCGTAAACCTTGTTTTGCTTAGGAATCTGTACAGACTCATCTTCTGCAAATACAGTGAGACATGTTTTTTAAAAGTAAGTTGCTTGTATTCAGGTGCAGTTTGCTCTTGAGAAATGGAAGTGTTTAAGGTCAGGTTAGACAGGACTTTGAGCAACCTGGTCTAGTGGAAGGTATCCTTGCCTGTGGCAATGGGGCTGGAACGAGATGACCTCTAAGGTCCCTTCCAACCCAAACCATTCTGTGATTCTATGAAATATTTACCCATGTATAGCTGCTGGAAACATGCTTTGAAAAGGCAATTCATTTCACATTTTGAAAAGCACATCATAAAAATAATCCAAGGGGATCTTGAAAGAGTGTATCCCACATGTAGAAGTATGTACTGGGAATCTCTTTTCATCATTAATCATTACTCAATCATTTTCATTAATCATTACTCATCATTAATCATTTTCATCAGTAATCATTACTTTAGTTAAAATTATATTTGTTGAAGAACTTCAGTAATTATTTATTTTACAATGCAAAAAAAATGACTACTGATTTTAACATATACTGAATTTCTGTTACTGAAAATAATGATATTTTTTCCATAATTTTCTTTTGTCTTGTTTTAAAAATGTAATTCTAAATGCCCTCAATATACTGTATCATGTTGAATGAACCTGGGATGGCATTCCGAACAATTATTGTGTTCCCATGTTTTATCAAGCCCTTAATTAAGGTACTGCTGGATTGTTAGCTGATTCCCATTGTGTCAGTGACATAGAAAGTGGTCTCTGTTATAAGTCCTCTGAATGGAATTTTACATTAAGGTTTTCAGAGCAATATGACAGATACTGAATAAATATTGTTATTTGAATACTATTACTGATTATCTGACCAAGACCTGCTACACCTACTTTTGCTTGCTTAGACTCAACATTTGTCAATATTTTGGCCATTTTAAATAATTCTCACACTTTACATGAACCTTAAGTCCCACAGAAATTTTTGGCCTATAGTCATATGTAGCAAAGACTTTTTAGTGCAGTCTAGACATATTGTAGGTCTATATGACTGTATGTGGAAGCTGTTTCCAAAGGTAAATCTTTGGAAATGTTTCTTTACAAAGTTGGTTTTAAAGTAGAAAATGCCTACCCAGCCATTAAAAAAAACTTTATCTGGACATCACCTTTTCTTAACAATAAATAATGCATAGTATTTATGTAGAGATAACAATAATTTTTCTTACTCCTTGGAGGGGCATTCAGTGAAGTTTTTTCAGTCTATGAATCATTCATGAAGGACCTGCTGGAGCAAGTCCAGAGGAGGGCCATGAAGCTGATCGGAGGGCTGAAACGCCTCCCTTATGAAGAGGGACTGAGAGAGTTGTGATTGTTCAGCCTGGAGAAGAGAAGGCTCTGGGGAGATCATACAGCAGCCTTCCAGTAACTGAAAATCTCTAGAGGGAACTTTTGGAAAGGCATGTAGTGACAGGAAAAGGGGAGATAGCTTTAAGACGAAGGAGGGTAGATTTACATTAGACATTAGGAAAGAATTCTTCTCTGTGAGTCTGGTGAGACACTGGAACAGGCTGCCAAGGAAGTTATGGGTTCCCCATCCCTGGCAGTATTCAGCTGGGCTAGTGGAAGGTGTCCCTGCTTATGTCAGCAGGTTGGGACTAGATGATCTTTAAGGTCCTTTCCAACACAAACCATTGCCATTTTACAGCTTCAGACTCGGACAGTATATGCCATAAGTTACTTGAGAGTCCTAATAAACGGTATTGGAATCATGGAACTGTCACCTGAATTTGACTAGATGCATTTAGGTGAATGTCTCTCTTGAAAAAAACAAATGTACTGGTAATTTAAAATGCTGAATCACCATGAAATCATTCCTTCAGTGCTAAACCACAGTGAACTGGGGAAGTCTGTAGACTATACTGACAATATATGTAGTTATTTGATAGTTTGTGGGTTTTTTTGAGGACCTGTGAAAGGGATTACAGCTGTACTGAAGACTGTGTAAGACACAGCAGCTATATAAACCATGCTTCCTGACCAAGTCATAGACAGATTGGTTACCTGATTAACAAAATTAGGTTGCTAATCATATTGGAATGCTGAGCCTCCTCTGCATGCTGTATGCTCACATAAAGTCACTAAAATATAGTATATATTGTAATTACAGGGTGATGCTGGAGAAAATGGACAGAAGGGTGACACAGGAGAAAAGGTATGCTACTTATTAGTAGAGAAGAAAATGTGTTCTTTAGGCATGCTTACAGAACAAGCAGCTAATGAGAGCAATAATCTGATCAAAAGAAAAACACATTTTAAACGGTTTTTTTAATGATTCTGAGTGATGTAACTGTTCATTTTTATGCAGAGCAGGAAAAATGTCACTGTTCTGTCCAATTAAGCGTAAAATTCTTGACTTTATACAGCAGGAGGTAACTTCCCTTCAAATTGCCAGCTGGACAATTCAGAGTTGAAGATAAAAATGGTTTACTAAATCTTTTTGCCAGATGACATCAGCAATAACCTCACCTAATACTTTGTTAGTTCAAAGTATCAATATGCTGTAGAAGTCACCGAAGACATTGTCCAATTTATTTTACTTGATTTTATGTGTGACTTATGCTGTATCATTGAAAGAAAAAAAAAAGAATTTGAGTTTTCATATGTGCTTTCTTTAACACAAGTGATAGTCTAGCAGAGAAGCCTGTGTTGCACAGGAAGGGCGAGTCATAATGATCTCTTCCAACCATCACTTTGGAGGTCATATGCTTTTAAAAGCATCCAGTTTAGTGACTACACTTGGGTGGAAGAAAAAAGATTTCTTCTTGTACCCCTGTGTGTACAATTGCTTAACCAACTCACATCAGTTCAGTGCAAGGAGAAATTTATGATGGATTTATCAAGCTGGCAAGGAATGCATGCAAATCTCTCAGGTTCTATGGTTTGGGTACAGTAAAGCTATGCTTTCAAGAATGTAAGGTTTTTTGGGGGCATATTCTAAAATCAGCAATTAAAAATAGACATTAGATTTAAGAATAGTCAAGTTATTGGATTCCCAAAGTTTGTTTAAATAATACTTTATCTGCAGTCATGCTTATTATCCCAGATGAAAGTCTTAAGAACCTTATTAGTTACTTACACAAATTATGCTGGTAACATCATCTCGATCCACTTTTGTATCATTCAAGAATGTAATCTTTTAGCAAGTGTGAGCTTGTTGTTCAAAGAGATAGTCCTGCAACACGTAAATGGGAAGTTCATAATTTCTCTTGAAAGCCTAGTGCCCTGCAACAAGTAAATGGGAAGTGTATAATTTCTCTTGAAAGCCTAGTGCAGCTTCACTTGTCCCTTTTCTACTTTACTGGGAGAGCAAGCTTGCATCCACTAGAATGCTAATACCGTGCTTTAGTCCGCAGTGCACACATATCCTTGCTTGGGATCTTGTTTAAGGAAAGAAAAAGTTCTCTCCTTTCAGTAGGAAATCTCTTCTCCCATGTATAATGCTTTAAATATTTCTGTGTGAGCTTTCAACAGTGAATTTGTGGAATTGCTGTATCTAAAGAAATTTCAATAAACTTGTTGAACTTCATAATGCAGAAGTCTCCCACCTCTTCCAGGTTTCATATAAGTTTCTGAGGAGACATGGGAAACAATGCTGATTGTGTGGAGTGCGTTGTCTTAACCAGAACAGGCTAGAATCCACTGCATGAATTTTTACAAGAGACATCAGAACTATGGCTTAATTGCCCTTCATTATTTCTCCTCCATTTTCCTGATCGCAAGAAAATCTGCCACCTAGAAACAAAAGGCCCAGATCTTATGGGAGAGTTACAGCTTAAAGCTGCTGATAGAGAGTTCTGCAAACAGCATTTGTAAGTGAGCTTAGGAGGGTGTCTTTTGACAGATAATTTAAGAGTGAGCATTAAACTTGGTGTCATTACATTTGTACTAGTTAACAAGGAGTATATTATTTCCTGCGTAGGGGAAAGATTTTGCTGTATGATCATTACATACAATTCCAGCGTGAATTTGCCCAGCAATCACTAGTCATGTAAGTGTTAAAGGAAATCAGAATGACTATTGCAGGCATATTTGACATGTTCACAAAGTAGCTTTGATTTTTTTCCATATATTTTTTTAATTTGTATTTTTTACTGTGTTGTGACTGTACTTTCTCTACTGAAGTCACAATCATCTTGAGGAGGCAGTTAAACTTATCTTGAGTATAAACCCTAGTATAACAAGGGGTTTAAAATAGCTCAATAGCATTCCTTCTATGTTTTCTACTGGGTGCTTTCTATTGGGCAGGACCGTAACATTAAAAACTGTCTGTTTACTTAAAAGCAGCAGACAAAATTGAGTTCCAGCAAATTTCACAGACAGCTTTATTGATGCATTATGCTTATACGTACCTTCAGTTATTTTTTTTTCCCCTGCTACAAAACCTGTGTCTTTATTTGGGTAGCTGTAAAATGTTTGGGGCATGTATTACATTATGGAATTTCACTACCAGATGTAGTTTTTTCCAGCTGAATACTTCTGGGGAGACATGTAAGTCTTATTAAGGCTTAGTTTTTAAAGACTGTTTTTAAGAGAGCTGCTGCATGTATTCAGAGGTAAGGCTAGCATCCATTCAGTTCTCAGGTGTTCAACGACATACATCTACAAACCTTTCCTGCTCAGTAAACAAGTCATTAATTTTATGTAAATAAATGAAGAGACCATTGCACTAGATCATAATACTACACATATGCTTAGGAAATCTAACTGATACTTCACAAAAGTTAAAAACATTTATTTAAAAGATTAAATAATGCTTCTGTGAGATAAATAGTAAATTTTCACTTATATTTTGAGAGAGAGGTACAAGTTGACAAGTGTCAGATTTGGCTTAGGACTGGGTTCCTCTTTGTGGAATTAATATAGCTTTGTTTTCTGAACTGTTGTACCTAGTGGCTTTCAGAAATACAAACTTGGGTGCCTACATCTTGACCTGTGACTTAAGAAAGAAACCATTTCAGCTGAATTGTCCTACTTCTAGTGCCAGACTTGAGTTCTTGCTTCAACTCTTCTACTGTAGCCTTGATCCCTAGAAACTACCAAGCATCTTCCTTCTGTGTGCATGTTCCCTTGTTAACGTTTCTTCATTTCCAAACTGTCTGACTCATCAGAGAATTGAAAACATGCTGTACAATAATTTTTTCTTTAATCCCATATTAATTTTGATTCTTGCAGGTAGGTGGAAACTTTTTGTCCTACCTTCCCCTCCTACCATTACCCTTCAAAATGTTTAACTCGTGAATGTCTCTTACCAGTTGCTTTACCACTTTACAGTTATAAAAAGTCCTTGAGGTTTTCTACAGACTTCTAAGTGATACCAGCAGTATCAGTCATGTATGTCTATGAAAATGAGGCAGCTCAGGTTTCTAGACATGAAAACTGTGTCATTCACGGAACATTTTCTAGCAGCTTCACTGTTACTTTCAGGGAAAAATCTAAATTTATTTTGCATAACAAATAATGAGACAGTTCTTCAAATAGAAGCACTTCAGCCGTCTTCAACAGATTGTAGGTTGACTAGCAAATTATTGTTTGGGTTTTTTTAATTTCTGTTTGGTGTGTCATTTAAGAAAAAAATGCAGCCAAGTATGAGTGCACAAGAATTGTAAAGATCTTGTGACAGTCATACAAAACTCTGAGCTAAAAGCTTCTTGGCCAGGTCACTCTCTGATCCTCTGCCCTTGTTCATATCAATGCCTATCAAACCCAGTCAACCCAGTAAAACACAGGTGAATCTTTCTGAATATTGTATGTCTCCTCATAAGAGACCTTTCCTGAATACATAAATTACTATAGCTCTCTCATCTGTGAAGTATAACACTTTACTGCATTAAACTATCAGTTTAAATATGTTGAATTGCTGAGGAAATAGAGCTATGACTTGTCCTGATGGGGATAAACGCATAGGTCACTGAGGTTTTTTTCCAAGGTGAACCTTCAATAGCACAAAAAGCTTTGTCAGTTGAGACCTGACACTTGCCATCTGTAGAGTTAGGTCAAAAGATTGCTCGTATTCTTTGTAAATGGCAGTAAGTGATTTTTAATGGATATCAGCAATTTAGAGATGTTGATGTCCCATCTTCTGGCTTTATGAAGCACATTTATACAAAATCTGCAATTATATAATCTACATTAGTAGCTGTGAAATTTGAGGATAACTGTTATGATGTTTGGATGAATGAAACAAAAATCTCTCTACATATTCTCAAAAACAATTCTGTTCCTTTTCTGAGCCACACCGATTTAATTCATTGGGTAAATTCCTATGTAGCAGCACAGAGAACAGGCAATCTTGCTATATAGTTATTTTTCTATATAATCTTCCTATACTCTTGCATGTCTTCTTACATATTTTTCTTGACAAGCTGTATATATAATTATTCCTTGTGAATTTTCTATCAGGGTGACCCTGGTTCTTCTGCTGCAGGAATTAAGGTAATTTGGTTTTAAAGCAGTCTTATAGGGACAAGAGGGGTGGTTGGTCTGTGTTAATCTGTAGTGTCACAGACATTTCAAGTACCGTTAAAGTTATGCTTTTCTCTAGCTCTATTTTTAACTCATCTTGTCAGATCTTATATCTTTCATCTCTTTTAGGGTGAACCTGGTGAATCTGGACGGCCTGGACAAAAGGTATTAGTTGGAAATGTTCAGTTTTCCTTTTCTTCTCTTGGATTTGTGAATAAATGATGTTACACAGATGTTACCACTGGTACTTACCTGCACTAGGGTGAGACCAAGGCAGTACAGTTTAACAGCGCAACGCCTGTAAGCATTTGGTGTGTGATTGATTTGTATTTTTTAAAAGTACAGGAATGATTATACTAATAAAGATGAAAAGCAATATTAGACTAACTCACCTCCCCTTCTAGCCATAGCACACTTGCGTTGAAAGCTTACCCAATTGCAGCTGGGAAGACTAACAAAGAATATGAGTAATCACAAGTTAACCCTGCATGTTTGACTGAATATTAACCTTCAGACTGTGGTGCGTTATTACGTCTCACTAGGAAGAAAATAAATATTGACTAGAATCCCCTTCACATATACCTGTAAGGGGAATCAAACTGTCAGAGGCACACAATGTGTTTGGAAGGATATAGACCAGGTAACGCCATTCTGTGCTTCCTTCCAGGGGCAGAAATTCCCCTGGGCGCTATGTAGCTGAGGCTGCTTTTGCGAGTAGAGGTCCAGAAGGAGCTATAATGACTCCACATGAGGCCCTCTGAGGCTGGGGAATTTCCTCTTTGAATCTATAGTACATCAAAAACAGTAAATGCTGTTCCTTCAGCTGCCATTCATGAGAGTAGGAGGCAGGTCCTGCTGGGAGAGTTGATGAAAGGACAAAGAGGAGAGACAATGGGGGAACCAGATTTTTGTTTTGCAGTACTTGGTTTTCGTCAGAAGCCTTCGACACCATTTTTGCCTCTTATAACATTGAAAATTACCTACTGTTGCCAGAGTGGAGCAGAGTTCATCTGCCAGTTAAGCTAGCAGGTATTCCAGACAGCCAAGAGCTAAAATTCTATATAGCGAGTGGCAGTACAACTGTTTTCTATTACTTGAGGTCTTTTGGTGACTAAGCAAAACCCTAAAATATATAAAAAAATAAAACAAATATAAAATAAAATTAAATGTTAAGTCTTTTTGTTTGAGAAATTATGACTGTCACTAATTATAAGACTAAACAAAGGTTATTGTGGTTGTAAATTAAGTGCTTTAGTAAAATGCAGTTTTAGTTAGGAAAGGTAATCAAAGTAGTTTAAAGCTATTGAATCCACAAAATCATTCAGTGTGTGCATTCTGCAGTGTATGCTTTTCTTGGGGAATAAACTAGAAAATGCGCTTAGGAGCCCATTAAGATTCATATCCTCATTAGCTGCTGTGGAGGCAAAACTAGTGGTGATTTATCAGCAGGCACCTGGATCTCAGTCCCCAGGTACTCAGGTTTGATCTCATTTAGGTAACAGATAAGTGAGAGGTACGCAGTTCAGATGTCCTATAGTCTCAGCTTGTTATTCGCACCAAAGGGGGCTTAACATATTTCCCCTTCACCTCACAAGCTTCCAGTGTGCCACACAGGTCCCAGCCCAAACAGCAGCCACAGTAATGTGCTCATTCAGAGTGCCTCCTCCAGCCAGGTGCCCCTTGTCTGCTGTTCTGCCCCCTGCTTAGCAGGTACCCATTCACCCACCAAAGGTTTTGGGGAACCCTTTTTCCAACTGGAGATGTGCCTCTACCCTCTAAGTCTCCACAATAGTTTTCCCCCTACCATGTCCCACTCCGATTTCCTGCTGGTGTCTTCCTTCCTTCCTTATATTTAACTTCTTCCTCTTCTTCCAGTTATTCCTTACCCATCTCCTAAGGACAGGTAAATATTGAGCTGCCCACCTAAATAGTATTTACTTGAAATGTGACAGTATTTCAGTGGCCTGACAAGCCTGTTGTGTGCCATATATATTGCAGAGGTGACAGAACAACCTGCCCTGCCAACCTGAGCATTATGAGATGGAGATAGTATACAGCCTTGGTTTCTTTAAAAATCATTTTCTCATAAATCATACTTAATTTTTTTGTATCAAGAAAGGTCCAGAAAAGGAAGTATTACGCATTCTTCTGCAAGAAGAATTTAGCATTAGCAATTTCAATGTGTTTCACATTTTTTAAAGTTATCTTTGAGGGGCATTTTAATTGGTTTTGATTACTGTAATTCTGAGCTGGCTTTGGTGGTTCCTTTCTGCTTGTTACATGTGGGTCTATGAGAGTTATCTCTGTCCCAAGACTAAACAGTGACCTACTGCAGCAGTAGCGATAGATTATCAGTTATAATTATTCAAATGCTGTTCTTACAAGTGAAATTTAGTACTTCCACACTTAGATGAGAAAAGGTCACAGTAGTAGTGTTGTATGTATGGCTACTCCAGTAAGAAACTGCAAGACAGAGAAGTAAGGTTTTGGAACTAGCATTTTGTCAGGAATGAGTGCAATGGAGGCTTTGTAAAGGATTATTGTTTTGCAAGAGTAACAACACATATTCTGCTTTAGAAAGTTGGGCAACGTACCCAAAAATACTAGTATCTGTTGAAAATGGTGTCCTAGCCTCTGTTCTTTCATCTGATGTTATAGTTAATATTTTGAGACTGGAATATTTCCTGTGTTTTTAGGCAATGTGAACAGTTAAAATTCTGGAGTAAGTAAAATGGGCAAAGAAGCTGTTATTAGATCCTTCTATAACATTTAAAAATCACTCAATTTGGTAAAGCAATTTGCAGACCCTTTGTTGTGTTCTTCAGTTTGTGGCAGAATATAATTTTGTTAGTAGCCCTACAAGTCTATTTAATATTAATGCCTCGAAGAAGTGTCTCTGGGTACTGATAAATATCTATGTTGCGCATGTATGTGTTCATATTTGTGTATGTAGACATGTGTATACGTGAGTGTATGACTGTATGTATATGCCTATGCATACACATAAAATATTTAAACAGCACAATCTGGATGAATCAGCCCAAACCACAGAGTTGAAATCTGGATTTCTATAATGCTCAGCAGCGTACAAAATCTGGAATATAGTTCAACTCATTCTGAAGGTAAAAGATGGTTTCAGAGTTCAGACCTGAGCTTCCAGAAAGTTCAGGGAATATTCAGATCCAAGCTGCTGGTTAGAATCCATCTCTGTATTAAAATAAAACCTCCAGACTTTAAAATAATGTTTTCTTCATGTTATTGCTTTTTTTTTTTTTTTTTTTCTATTCATCGTCTTTATTTCCCTGGACAATGTCTTTCCATTTAGCTGATATCTCAAAATGACCATTTGTGCGAATGTTGTCATTCTTTTTTTAGACTAATATCCACTTCATTTCAAAATTAATACATTCAGTTTTCAATTCCTGTTACAAAATAACCCTTGCAAATGCAGCACTATAAGTCTTTTCATTGCAGTTTTAAACAAGCAAGGTTCTTCTGGGTAAAGTAATAGAAGATTACATTCCCATTATCCTTCATGACACCATGTATATTTACAGATAAATAGCAAGCACTGAAATGATGCTCCAGATAGCTCCATAAGAATGGTGGCCCAGTTATAATTAGGTAGTCCTGCTTGAGCTGCACAATTTAAACCAAGCTCTTCTTAATTGCTCTGTAGCTAAACCAGAAAGTTACACAGCACAATATCTAGCTCAGAGTTGAAAACTGAACAGAATTAAACATCTGTCTGCTGAAATGGCAGCATGTAAAATGAACCATTGCTGCTTTTTAATTCTGTTTTGGTGAAGGCTAATGTGAATTCATTTTTGACTCTTCTGATCTGGATTTTCAACCTGGGTGTCATCTTCAGATCCAAGGTTCCCAGAAGTTATTTAAGTTCTTAACATGACTTTTACTAATTGTAAATTTAAGTCATTCATTTTGCAAATATCAGTCCGGCTTGAACTGGCTAGCAGTCATCTATGCTTTTTTATCTTGCTGCAGAATATATAGGGGTGTTCACTGGATAGTGATTATAACTGAATAATGTCTGTAATATTATGTAATTTTCCTGTATAGGGTGAACCAGGTCTTCCTGGGCTTCCTGGACTCCCTGGGATAAAGGTAAATAAATCGTAGTCTCTTGTACTGGGGAGGGGACACCACAAAGGGGGAGACTACAAGAATGTGGCTAAAATGGACTTGCTGTACCTGTGCTGTATCTTCTTCTGTCTCTGGTATTGAACTGGGGATTATCACAAAACGGTTTCACATGGAAAATCAGCCAAGTGTCTGTAGACAAGCAGTATATCATACAATAAAATGTGGAGTGTTTCATTCCAGTGCTTTAAAAAATAATCTGATATGGTAGGGTTTTTTATACTTTAATGGAAGAGGCTTGTTATTAAAGCTTTACTTGGTTTCCACTTTCGTGTGTGCTTTCCAGTAGCAATAGTCTACTGACTTTACTGAGCCTCCAGACAGAGAACTGCGTTAATTATACACAGGCTGTGGAGAGCTGGCTCTGTCGACAGACATACTCTGTGCTCCATTACACAGCAGTGATTTCCACTGACAAGTCAAAATGTTGTAATAAGATTCTATTAGTTACAATCCCTGACCTAATACCTGGTTTAGTCCCTGCCTTCCGGTTTGTCTAGGATCTTTAGGTTAGTTGATACAAAATACATGTGGTTGATCTAGTTCTAGCATAAGTGGTTGCACTGGGAATTGTAGATGCTTGTACAATTTGAGCTAGTAACCGTATAATGCTGCAGAAACTGAGTGGAATCACATATCTTGAGTGAATGCAGATTATAGTGGTTGCTTCTCTTTTGTAGCAAAGACTGTGCTTTCAGAAAACAAAATCTCTTTGAAACTTTTTCTTTGCATTCAATCATGGGCCTGTGGATACCTCAGGAGATGGTTTATATCATTTCTCCAGTGACAGGGGGCCAAACTCTTGTCCATTTTGGTAGCATTTAGGATTTCTCTCATGGAATGTAACGTTTGCAGTGTTTTTCTCAAGGGACCTGTGAATTGCCACAGCACTGAAGCATGGAGTCCCTTCTGTGTTACTGGTGATTTATGGGAAGAATTGAATGTGCATATTAAAGTTTGTCTGTTGTAATACCTGAAAATATAGTTCCCAGGGAGTTTGCTCATTTTCCATGAGAATAAACCCTATATTGTCTAGTGAAGATCATGTAGGCGCTGTCCTTTGTGTGATGAAACTCTTTTTATAAGGACCTCTGACAGCAATCCCTATTCTGTTTTCTTTAACAGCGATCTAAGAGGTAGCTCAGTAGGAGGTCAGTGTCAGCATCTTGGGGGCACTTGCCAAAACCAGCTGGAGTTACAGCTGGTCTTTGGGGATTCCATGTTCATGCAGATCGTGCATGTCCATGCATATCATCAGCAAGTAAATAAAAAAGCCTAAATCTGAGTCTCTGCTCTGGGAAACTTACTGCTGTTAAGCTTTACTTGTTAGTGGTAAGAATGGCTCAGAAGGGCAGCTTTCAGATTCACCTGAAAGGCAAGTGAAAAATGGATGAAATGTGGGAGTTTTGCCCAGTGAAAGTTTGTTTCAGAATTCAGTGGATACAGTGGAAAAACAGTACAGTTGCCTGCAGAATAAAATGGAATAATATGGTCAAATATTAATTCTTTTAGGAGAATGCTAGCTTCTATTAAAAATCTAGGCCAGAGGGAGACTAGTGGCGGTTCAGTGAAGAAATTCCATCTAGTGCAGTTCTGAATTGAAGTGGCTAGGTACACCCTAGATGGTGACATTCAAGCTAGCAGAATGTGCATAGGAGAGAGCAAAACCAGATCTGGTTACATCAAACTTGCAGAATGGGTGCTGTTTTGATTCAAGGCATCTGTAAACTCTTTTTAATTAATGAATCTGTTGAAAAAAGCCTACATTTTTCTGTCTCAGAGACTTTATCTATGGCCCGAGAAGTCATAGGAGAAACCAGTGAATAGCTGGAATTAGGCATATGGGCAGTTATTGGGAAAGAAAAAGCAGTAGTTTTGCACCTTTTCTCACTCTCTGTTTGAGCGAAGAATGATGTATCACCATGGTAAAATCATCTATCAATTTCCAAGAACAACCTCAGTGATATCTTATGGCAAAACAGATTTCCAGTGAAATGACATTGATTGAAAGCTACTTTGAGATAGTGACTGGATGAGAAATTTAAGCATGGAGGAAATCAAATTGTCTGGACTTGCAATCTCTTGGTGTTATCATGGTATTACCGCACAAAGCTGAAAGCAATAACTCTTTATTTTCCTGATTATTCCCTGTTGCTTGTTGCATTCTTCTCGGGGCTTCTGGGGTCTGTTTACTTCAGGACTTCATAAAACTCTTTAAAATATGTGTTTGCTATTCTGTCTTAACAGTGATATGCAGTGATGGCATAATGCAACAGATATAGTACAAACCTTGCACAGTGTCATCACAACATCTAGGAACTTGTTACATCATGTAAGAAGTTTCCATAAGCAAAGTTTTTTTCTAAGACTTTAGTGGATTTCAGAGTTCTCATGAATTTGCATGCCAGCACAGTAGCTGTCAGCAGGATTTTGCAGGCTATTTCCAAACTTTGTGAGATGGGCATCTGGCAACTCAAGCAAAGCGCTAGTGGGAACATGTAGGAGAAAGTGATGGGGTTCAATACAAGGCAGTGGCCATTAATCTCTTTCCCAGTATGAAAATCTAAATATTTTTTGTCTTTCTGGTATAATTTGGATACTATTCTTGTTTTCTGCAGTACTGTTTTCTTCAATTTCTGTTACATTACGCAGGCATGTACAGGCACACTCAAAAGTCTTGTGCAGAATCTTCCATTGAGGTTTCTTGCAGCTAAAGCACTTTACGGTTCTCAGCACACTTTTGATCTTTCTTCCATCTTATATAATTGGAATCACAGAACGTTCACTAAATTTGTGCCTATGATGATCTAGAAATTAACACATTCTATTTGTTTTCTGCCTTTTGCCCTGAGTTATTGGTAAAACACATTTCCTAAGCAGGTTTTAAAGATTATCCCAAGATGGCTAAAATGCATCAATTCCTATAGATGAATAGATGTAGCTGTGTTCAACCGGCCAAGTATTCAAGGAATTAGGACAATATATGTTCTAGGAATTAGGTATATAAATAGCAAAAGCTCATATCCATTTGATATAGAGTAACTCAAATCACACGGCTGATTTTGGGTGAACATTGTCTGAGGATCATGTTTACAGAGCTTTTATGTTCTAAATAGCTTTGGAATTGTTGGATGTTGGTGGACTGATATGTTCAGGTATCTTCTAGACAGATGAGAAGAAAGAGGTGAGAGAAGACTGTGTTTTCTGATTTTGAAAGAATTTCCTTTAGTGTCTTCTAGTACTTCCATGTAAGGAAATGTAGGATACAGGGATATTCTACACATAGGAAACTCTTCAATGTAGTTCTAATCTTCAATATTTACCCTTTTATTACTCTGTAAGGAACTGTAAGTCTCCTTTTCTTTAAATCTACTAGTTGAACTACAAATTTGCTTGCTTCTGAATTAATTTCTCTACAGTGTCAGGCTGTATTAGTAAATGTTTTAGGAAACTGTGCACATACATAGCACTCTCTAAAAATGCTAAAACAGCCTGTGAAAACATGAATGCTATGGCAGGCAGTGGACCATATCTTTCCAGGTACATCTCAGCTTCCTTCTCATGGTTGGAGAAGCTTTCTAAGACTTCCAGGCAAGTATGCTTGAATGTGTAGACAAACTACTTAAGGGATTAATAAATACTAATCATTGGGAAAGTTTCAGCTCCTTATAATGCCATTCCAATTAATTAATCACTGTTCCCAGGAACCTGTTAGAGCTTGGTTGAATATGATACTGGAGTCTGAATGAACAGCAACGTTGGATGCACATGCAAGTATCATATCTGAATTCAGAGTATGCAGCAGGGTCTTTCATTACTTACTTTTCTAGACCTATTCACCATGCACATGCGGATGTTTTGGGAGTTCTTCCTGATCTTTTTCGTTCTCTCCTCATTGTCAGTTGGTGCCATGGAGGAAACACAAGTGCAGTCAGTTATTTCTAAGACAGTGATGAAGCTGTCTGTGACATACTGGAGAAATGTTTCTCAAGCACCTGTTGCTGTTTAGGAATGGCTGGAAACTTAATGATCCCCTGAATGTTCCACCATGTCACTTGGGAAGTGAGCAAGGCACCTAAACACAGGCTATTAACTCATCGCTCTGATATCTCCCAACTGACGCCAAGCAGACACAGAATACTTTCTATGAAACACTAACGTCATCTATCTGTTTTATCTCTTAACTTTCATAGGATGATATGTACACAGCAGCACTCACTTACTGTGATGGAAGTCATGCGTACTCTTACTCATTGTAATGTCAGACATCTCTCAAATCCATCGCGTGTTGCATTTTCTGTCATTTGGGCAGTACAGTCCTCAGTTTCATCAGTGTAGTGGGAAGCCTTCACAGAACACTCGTTTCCCCTCAGTAGCAGCACTTTATACAGGATCTTGTTTTTCTTTAGCATTTCTGGCATTTCTCCTTCTGTTTTTAAAACAAATACTGAAACAAAGCTTGTGTGGTTTATTCCATTGTGTCCATGAAAACTGCTGTTGAATGATTTGGCATGAGAAAAGAAAGGCTGCTCATCCCTTCTACTTTCAGTAGGGAAATTTTTCTGTGTTTTTCAATCCAGTGGAACTGGCTGCTTCAATAGATTTGCCAGTATGCAGCATCTTGCATCTTTTTATACAATTGCTTTGGATTGACTTCCCTGGAGCTGTGCCTGAGCAAGGTTTTAGAAGAACCCGGATAAAGATATAGAAATTTGATTTTTTTTCAGGTTTGTTTTTTTTTAAAGCAAAAGCAATTCTAATTTTCATGTGTTATTTTCCTTTTCTTTTTCTGTTCATATTCAAAGATCTGATCCAGTGACTTTCCTAATTTTGTGTAAAGACTGAAAAACTTGCTGCTCCACAGAACTTATATTTTTAGCTCTAGAAGAGTCGATGCTCCTTTCATCTAGTGAGTTCTGCAGGAAAAGAAAACTCACAGAGAAAATGTGACTGAATTTTCAAGC